GCTAGGGCCCGCACGCCGACCTGACCGCCCGTTTCCACAAATTGTGTCCCCTCACCGTGTGAAGATTGCACTTAATGTCCCACCCGTCGGCCCGACCCACCCGTCATGGTCCGCCCGGCCCGACCCGACCGACCGCCCGTTAGGGCCCGCCCGCCCGACAGACCCCCCCGCCCCGCCCGTTTAGGGTCCTCGCGCGTGGCTCATCACGCCACCCACACTGTTAAATGTCCCCCAGCCCAACGATGCGCCCGTCAGGGCCCGCCCGCCCGCCCGGCCCGACCCGCCCTTTGGTCCGCCCGCCCGATCCGACTCCGACACCTGGCCCGTCAGGGTTCTCGCGGTGGCTCGATCACAGCACCGCACTTTAAACGTCCCGCCAAGCCCGACCCGACCCGCCCCGTTAGGGCCTCGCCCCCCGAACCCGACCCGACCCGCCCATTAGGGCCCCCCGCCCCGACCCGGCCCCGGCCGACCCCTGTTAGGAGTTCCCGCCGTGTGGTCCGATCATGCACCATACTTTTATGCACCGCCGGCCCGACCCGCCCCACCGTTAGGCCCCGCCGCGCGGGCGCCCGACCGACCCTGCCCGCCGTCCAGGTTCCGCCCGCCCGACCGCTACCCGACCCGACCCCCCGTTAGGGTTCGCCGCATGTGGGTTTCCGATTCACGCACAACCGCATTTTGATTTCCCGCCTGCCCGACCCGACCCGCCCGTTAGGCCCGCCCGCCCGACACGACCCGACCCGCCCGTCAGGGGCCACCCGCCTGACCCGACCCGACCCGCCCGTTAGGGTTCTCGCGCGTGGGCTCGATCATGCACCATACTTGAATGTCCCGCCCGCCCGACCCGACCCGCCCGTTAGGGCCCGCCCGCCCGACCCGACCCGGCCCGCCTGTTAGGGTCCGCCCGCCCGCCCCGCCCCGCCCCGCCCCGCTCCTCCTTGGGGTCCCTGCTGCTCACCCATCCACACGCAGACTCATTCACCCTCACACTGGACCCGCTCGTACTCAGACCGACTCGCGGATGGACTCACGCTCAGACCCGCTCACACTCAGACTCACTCTTGCGCAAACCCATCGTGCGCAGACAGACAGACACACTCGCACTCAATCATAGTCAAACCCGTCATGTTCAGAGTCGCTCGCCAGGCAAGCGTTCCGTTCCAGACCGCGCTTCCCATACCCACAGGGGGAGGGGCGACTGTGGACATATCCGGGCCCCTGGCGGGACCGACTGCAATGCATCCCCATCCGCCGCTTCCCGAGGTCCAGGCTCCAGGGCTCCAGGGCTCCAGGGCTCCTAGATGGGGTCGGCGTAGAGGCCTCCTCCTCGTCCTCCTCCCCCTTCTCCTCTCCTCCTTCTTCCTCTTCCTCCTCCTCCTTTTCCTCGTCCTCCTTCTCCTCCTCGTCCTCCTCCTCCTCCTCTCCATCCTCCTCGTCCTCCTCCTCCTCCTCTCCATCCTCCTTCCTCTTCCTCGTCCTCCTCTCCATCCTCCTGCATTTCCTCCTTCTCCTCCTCCTCCTCCTCCTCCCCCTCCTCTTCCCTGCCCAAGCGGGTCTGCCCGAACCAAGTGCCGACGTATTCCAACACCCCCAGGTCATTTCGAACCACGACCCCGGGTCTTTCCTACCCAGCCAGGTCATCCCAACCAAACGGGCATTCCCAAACCACAACGGCCGGGTCTTCCCAAACAAAGCGGGCCTTCCCAAACCGACTGGGCCTTCCCGAACCACGAGGCACGGGTCTTCCCAAACCAAACTCGGGTTTTCCCAAACCAACAGGGTCTTCCCAAACCGAACGGCCAGGTCTTCCCAAACCAACCGGGTCTTCCCAAACCTCAGCCCTGGGCCTTCCCAAACCTCATACAGGCCTTCCCTAACAAACCGGGTCTTCCCAAACCACAACGTCCGGGTCTTCCCAAACCAACCGGGCCTTCCCACACCAACTCCCCGGGTCTTCCCAAAACGGGTCTTCCCAAACCAACCTGGTCTTCACAAACCAACATCTGGGTTTTCCCGAACCAACCTCCGGGTCTTCCCAAACCAACTCCCCGGGTCTTCCCAAACCAAACGGGTCTTCCCGAACCAACCGGGCCTTCCCAAACCAAACGGGTCTTCCCAAACCAAACCCGGGTTTTCCCAAACCAACCTGGTCTTCCCAAACCAACCTCCGGGTCGTCCCACACCAACCAGGTCTTCCCGAACCAACTCCCCAGGTCTTCCCAAACGAACCGGGTCTTCCCAAACCAACCGGGTCTTCCCAAACCACGCGCCCGAGTCTTCCCAAACCAACCGGGTTTTCCCAAACCAACCGGGTCTTCCCAAACCAACCGGGTCTTCCCAAAACGACATCCTGGTCTTCCCAAACGAACCGGGTCTTCCCAAACCACTCCGGGACTTCCCAAACCAGGTCCTACGTCACCCAAGCCCAAGTTTGGTTTGGGAAGACCCGTTTGGTTTGGGAAAGACGCCCCTCCGCCCGGTACTCCCATGCCCTGTCGAGGCACCGGCCCCGGGCGCCAGGGCGTCGTGCCCCGGGATATAAGGGCCTCTTGGGGCTCCTGGGCCCCTTCTTGGAGCGTCTTGGGGTCTCCTGGGGGTCTCTTGGGCCAAAAGGCTCGAATTTCCGGTTCCTCGTCCCCGTCTTGGGCGCCGCCTTGGGGCGTTCTTGGGCGGTTTGGGCGCCTCGTGGGCCGTCTTGGCCCCCTCGTGGACCGTCTTGGGGCCCTCTTGGGGGTATCCTCGACCGGCTTGGGTGCCTCTTGGGCCGTCTTGGACGCACCGGACGCCCAAAAAGCAAACACGCCAAAAGTATCAGTTCTCCAATAGGAAATCGGAGATTTTTGCGTATTCGGCTCTCTCGGTGTGCCTCTTGGGGCGTCGTCGGGGCCTTCGGGGGCCTTCCTGGCGTCATGGGAGTCGTCTTGAAAAGCGTCTGGAGCCATCGCTGCGGCCTCCCGGGGCCTCCCTGCAGCCTCGTGGGGCCCTGTTGGCCCCGGGACGCCGAAACCCCGTAAAAACAAAAAAAGGAAAAAAATCGCGCGGGCCCCTGTGGCCCCGGAACGCCGAAACCCCTTCAAACAAAAGAAAAAGACGACGCTCCGGTAACTCCCATGACCTGTCGAGGCACGGCCCCGCGCCAGGGCTGTTCCGTGCCCCGTAATATCATATATATATATATATATATATATATCAGATATTATCTATATATATATTATAATATCCAATGTATAGACATATATAGATATATACATATATACATATATACATCTTTACATTCACTTAACTGCGTGGCCAAGGAGGCTACATACTGACCCACAGTCTGAGACTACCCGAGAGCCTGAAGGACCTCCAGAGCCTCTCTTTTTTCTCGGGACCGTGCGCGGCCAGCACACGCTTAGATCTGAAAAACACAAGCTCGGAGCGCGCTTGCCAGAGCCACGATCGCTGCAGGCGCGACCGAAACAGTCACTTCACGTAACAGTTGCCAAGTAAGTGAAAGCAAGCTGGGTTCAGTGGAACACAGCAGGAGGAAGGTGGAGGGGACGCAGGAGGAGCAGAAACAACTTGAGCACATTTGGCGATGGATCGGAGGGACCTGGCCACGACTCATGCCGCAAAGAGACATCAGTGATTGCTGCAATCTGTACATTCAGTTAACTGCGTGGCCAAGGAGGCTACATGCTGACCCACAGTCTGAGACTACCCGAGAGCCTGAAGGACCTCCAGAGCCTCTCTTTTTTCTCGGGACCGTGCGCGGCCAGCACACGCTTACATCTGAAAAAACACAAGCTCGGAGCGCGCTTGCCAGAGCCACGATCGCTGCAAGCGCGACCGAAACAGTCACTTCACGTAACAGTTGCAATATACCTTGCATTAGACCAAAGGGCTGGTTGACGGAGGGCCGCAAGCAGGCGACTGGACAGAGTGGCAGCGGCGGTCGAGGCAAGGCGCTGATCGCCAGGCTGCAACATCTGAAACACGGCGTGCAAGCGGGCGTGTTTCTCGAATCTAGACACACTGCGATGGTCGGCCCATTTTCCTCGGCGACGCACTTCCTCAAAGATGTAAGCCTTGGTGTATACATCCGTCGGAGGACCACCGTGGCGTAGGCAGTGGGGTGACAGACGGAGATGCGAGATGCCGAGCCGTACAACCGAATCCTTGAAACATTTCTCGAACTCTCGAAGTCCGAAAGGGAAGATGAAATGATCACACTGGACGTGGGGGAAGATGATCGCCAAAGCTCGAGCGATTCATTCCCGTCCAGCGACCTCGCCGACCACGATGCTGTCATCGTAGGCGCCGGTCTTCGCGGGTTGGCCTGATTCGGCTGGGGACAGTAAGAGGCACCAGCGATCATAAACCTCGTGAACTGCAGCAGCCGGTGGCATGACGCTAGAACGGCGCAGGGTGCATCCCACGCCAGGCCGCAGATAACAGTCAAAGCACAGGACGACTAAAAAGGCGGCAAGCGCCAGACCATGCTGGAGCATGTCGTCAGCGATCCACTACGCGATCTCGAGAGGAGCTGGATCGCGCGTCACGCCCGGCTCACGGTTTCGCCATCCAGCGAGCGCAGCACGGCTCCTGATGTAGAGCGTCCGATCTTTGTGAGGCATCTCAGGATGGCACCACGCAAAGCCATACAGGGCGGAGCGGGCTACTGACTGCGGCTCCCCGCTCAGGAACAGCAGCTCCATGAACCTCTCCAGCGCCTCGTCGACGTGATCAGCGGTGTCCAACGGCAGGCCGCTGCGGCGGGCGAAGGCGACGAACTTGTTGTTAGCGTCCGTGTAGGCCTGGCGGGCCCCTGCCGACCGGATCGCGCGCGCCCTCAGGAACCCTGGTCCTCCTTCCGCTCCGAGACGCCGAGCACGCGCAGCGGCAAGTTGGGCCCGTGCCCCAGGCGCCTGTCGCCCCGGCCCAGGGCGAGGTCCAGCGACGCGGGAGGTGCCCGAGCTCGAGCCGCGGCCGTTGGAGACCGGTCCCAGCGTCTTGACGCAGCTCCTCTTGCCAGGCATCCGACAGCCGGGCCTCGCCAGGAGCGCGCTCCGCTCCCCTCGGGGCGGCACAGCGAGCGGCCCACGCCCACGATCGGCACAACTGGGGAGAGTACGAGGCTGCAAGACAAAAAGAGACCAAAAAAACACAAAAATAAAAAACAAAAGCAAAGGATTAAAAAAATAAAAAACGAAAAAGAAAAAAAAACGAAAAAAAAATAAGGAGAAACAAAAAACAAGGAAAGCAACAAAGGCCAAAAAAAAAATACAAAAGAAGCAACCAGAAAAAAAAGAAAGAAGCAAAACCTAAAAAAAAAAAAACAAGCAAAGAAAAAAAAAAAAAACATCAAAAAAAAAAAACAAGACAAGTCTTCCACTTCCAACGATGATGTCCGTCTTGAGCCGATAGTCGCACTTTCCCCTGAAGGATCTCGTGAGGTTTCTGACATTCACACTTCAGACTCACGCTGTTCAAGGAATCACAATTTGTCGCTAGTAGGGTCGGCTTCTTATATGAACAACCGTATCGACAACAGTCATACTCGACAAAGAACGCGTCCGCGTATTCCAAGGCCTTCAGGATTTCAGGCTGCCTAAACAGGGACGAGGTCTTGGGGTTCTCGAGGGAGAAGTATACCTTCAGATCCATGCAGAGCTTGATCACCCTTGCAGCGAACCGAACGTGCTCCCGAGACACCCGCGCCGACGATTTTGCAGGTCGAGACTTCCTCGCAATACTCCACGGGGTACACGGCGCCCCAAGATGAAATACCAAATGCGGCCCTCGTTGAGCCACCTGATCACGACGTCCTGGACCCCCCGCTTCTCGAGATTGAACTCCGGACCCTCGGCGATATCGAACGGCACGGACACCCTGAGGCCCACCTCGGCCATCCCAGAAGTCAGAGCCCCACAGCCAGAGTAGAGCTCCAGGAAGGCTGGCGCGAAGCGTCTCGAAGAACGTGGCGAAGGCGGCGGACGAGACAAAGACTGCTGAGCTCTTACCTCCCTGCCTGACTGGCGAGACGATGCAGGCCGAGAGGTACTAATTTTCAGACCCAGTGAATCTCCTGCAAGTGGCATTGCTCCCCTGACTACCTACCAGACCACCCCAACCCAACCCGAAGACTCGAATTTGACCCGAATTTCGGGTTGGGGGGGGTACGGGTTCCATGTGTTTTTTTTCGATGTCCCCTGACCCCCCCCCACTGGAAATGGAAGGCAAATTGGGGCCTTCGGGTTGGGTTGGGGTGGCTCGGTGGGCGGCGATCCCCGCGATCGGAGAGGGCGTCGGGCATCGGGCCAGTCGTCCCGAAGCCGACGAGAGAGAGCTGACGAGGCCGAGCAGCGCGGAGGGCCCCGAGAGGCTGTGGCAACATGATGTGTTTCGTCGTCGAAACGTCTCGATCCTTCGTCTGCGGGATTTCGCTCGGATTCGATGCATCGGAGCCTCAGGTCGACGCCACGCCCAATCGAGTAAGCGGCACACCTGCGGGCCAAGACAAGCAGGCCGAAGTCTTTAGCTCGGCCTTTCTCGAGACAGCACAGTGAGGAGAGGTTATCGGACAGCACGAGAAGTCGTCGTCCATGACCTGAACGAGTATACGACTCTCTGCGGAGCGCCATTAGAATCACCCTCCCCTCCTTCATATGGATGGCCTCGTCCCTCTTCCACCTCCCCTCGAATAAGGTACGCCAACGACCAGGCTCGACGACCTCCTCGGGAAGGATCGGGACCATGCCAACTATCTCCTTCTGCTCTAGCTGTCTACGCTCCTTACCACGTAGTTTACCGACTCCAGAACGAAAACCACCCGACTCCAGAACGCCCGAAGACGGGGTGGGTATCCCAGCAGACTCCAGAAGCCACCGTGAATATGATGTGTCAGGCACCTCAAGATCAGCAGACCAGCCAGGATTCGGGGGCGGCAGGTTCCCAGAGGTCCTCACGGTGTCCCCGCGATCCCCCTCTACCTCCACGAACCGCCAACGCTCCTTCCATCTAGTAAGGTTTCGGAACTCCGCGGGGCCCATGGGGGTGTCCATGACGGCGTATCCCTTCCCTAACGCGTCTCCACAGTAGGATCGATCCGAAGGCGGAACGGACAGCCGTGACTCGGCCAAGAAAACGAGCCCCGCCATCATGCGGAACTCACGCTTCACCTGGCCAGGTAATTCACACGTGCGCCCTAGGCTGTCGTTCACAAACCGATAGGCGTGGGCAAAGACAGACATCGCCGGCCTCAGGAGGACAAGGTAGCGGATGCAATGACCCAGCAAAACACGAACCGCCTCTCCAGTCACCCGACGCAACTTCAGAAGATACTTAATCCCAAGATACAACCGCCATGCCCTCTCAGGCTTGTGACGAATGCTGCACCTACCCTTGTCTATCACGATGCCCACATTCTCGACCAGCAGGGCGTCCCCGCCCTCCTCGTGCAACGTGAACCCCACGCTCTCAAGCCCCCTCTTGATCGCGGCGTAATCTGACGAAACCTCGGAGCCCGAGAGACCGACAGTGGCACGGTTATCCACATAGACACTCGAGACGGGACCAGATCGAAGATCAGGAGCGGGGAGCCCCTCTTGCACCAGCCGGCGCTCTCCCCCGATAGCCATGGAGGTGATGTGCTTCACTGGGGTGGTGCAGAAGTGCAGGGCCCAGGACCAGCCTTGCGGCATCCCAAGAAAGACAGGAAACACTTCCTCCGTGGGTCGGGCAGGGCGAAGCCTCTCGAGGTCGTTGTCGAAGATCTGCGAGAGGCCGAACTCGGAGCATCGGACGGGGTCGTCTAGGCCGAACCACTCGGCCATCGACTCAACCGAGAACTGATAGAAGGTGTCCTCCACGTCACCGACGCAGACGGAGAGGTTCGGGACCTCGGCAATCGGGCCACACCCCTGCGCCAAGCTGGCGAGCTCATCCTGGTCGAGCCAGCCGTCGAGCTGCGAGAGGGCGCCAGCCCCCCCTAGTCTAGTCTTCGGCGGCAAGCGGTGGTGGCCGCTCGGCATCCGGGCGTCCACGATGAGCCTGATCCCACGGCGAGAAGACTTCCACACAAAGAATATCCCCACCTTCGCCTTGATACGAGTTCTGAACCCCAGGAGCCCCTTGTCATAGAGCTTACGGTAGGGGTCGAGCCGCGCCGACCGATTACGCAAGTGGGGGTCCCAGTAAGGCCTGAAAGCCGGGTGTTCCTCATTCCAGGCATCGATCTCGGGTTGCGAGCGAACGAGGTACCTATCTGGATCAATCAAGAAGGCCGCCTCCTCGGGCGGCAGCAAATCGACGGCGGGCTTTGGCGCCGTCTTGCCCTTCACGACCTTCAGAAGATCGGGCTGATACGGGGCGAGATTCTCCCCCCCAACGCAGTACAGGTCATTTGCCTTGAGAAGCCCCCAGAAAGCTTCCCGAGCAGTCATCCCAGCCGGCATCGGCCCACAACTACCAACGACGTCTCGAACACGATTCATCACAGCAGCCTGGGCGAAGGAGAGGCGCGGCGGAAACGAAGTCCCAAACCAGGCACCTCCTGATCGAATCGAAGAGGCGGTAGAGGCAGCCAAAGTGTTGAGGCTGCGCACCGCTTCAGCAATCCTGAGCTGTCTGCTTCTTCGAACAGTTAACCCAGGCGCTTCACGGTGGGGAGGGGGCCCACGATCACCACGTCTAGCAACGGAAGGCACTGGCAGCGGGAACGGATCACCACGCTTGGGCCCACCTCCTCTGTCCAAAAACTCCCCACTTAATACTCGGGAGGCTCGGCAGGGAAGTGTCCCATCCTTGCCCCCCGACGCCAAGGCGGTCATGATGTCCGCTTCTCCTGCTGACCAGCAGGAGAGGCCTTTGCCTTCGCCTCGGACTCCAAGTCGGGAGGCCCATCTCGATCGTCAGAACAGCGGCGCTCGGCGGCCAGCACCTCACGCCACTTCCACTGGGCCTCCATCGTCTTGGCCTCCTCCTTCTGCTCGCGGCCGGGCCAGGTGTCGCAGCCGCGCAAGCGGGCCCTGCCGATCTCGTCGTAAGACCCGAAAGTGCCGATGCTCAGGCCGGCGGAGCTGGGATCACGTTGAACCCGCTGGATCGCGTGGAACCCGAGCACCGCCTCCTCGATGCAGGCGAGGTTGGTCGACCCGATCTGGTCGTAGCCGATCTCGAGCCTCACGACCTGGGCAAGGTCCCGAAGCTCACGCGCCACGAACGAGTTCTCGCTGACCCCGGACTTATGCATGAGAGCGTCGAGCCACACCTGAAGGTCACCGCCGATCCCAGGGTCCGACTCGAGAAACTCCTGGATAGCCTCTGGCCCAGGATGAGGACGACCTGCGGAGGCCTCGGGCGTCACCAGCTCCATCGCTTCCGACAGCGACAGCACCTGCCTCTGCGCGGAGTTAAAGAAATGGCCAAGCAGCCGCAGGTCGCCCGAAGCTCCGCCAGGCAGCCGGCCCCTCTTCCGAGCAAGCTTCGCATCGTGGTCTGAGTCCTTCACAACCTCGACCAGCTGGGCGTTGCCGTCGATGAGAGCCAACCCCTGAACTCTGACACCATCTTCGCGATCATCGGTGGAGTCGGCGAGCCTCGGGGCAGTGACGACCTGATCGAACTCAACCGACGGGGAGTCCGCCACACGCCAGCCGGGGCCAGCCAGGCCCCCCGCCTCTGGTGCAGGAACAGCTCCCAGCACCTCAGTGACCTCGCGCGCCTGCTCGTGCATGGTGGCGATCCGAGCAGGGGTTCGTAGCGGCCCTCGAAACACATACATCGTCGCATCCGGGTCGACCTGGAGGGACTCGCTCGGAGCTAGCGGCCGCACATCAACCCCATTGAAGTCCCCCTCACAGTCACCTCCGTCTGGGGACCCTCTGATCCACCGACCAGCAGCCACCCTGGTGAACAAGACACGGTGGTGGTAGAGCAGCCCAGCAGCGTCGTCGTCGTAGCAGACGAGAATCAGCATCTCGTCTGCGTCTAGAGCCCGATCGATCGTCGCCATGCCTCCACCTCTTCACGAGACGCTGGTCCCTGCAAGGCGGCAGACGCGGACGACCGCACCACTCGGCGACGCCCTCCACACCTCCCGAACACGTAGCCGAGGAGCAAACACAGCAAGCTAAAGCTCACGGCGAACTCCAGAGGCACCGTCCGCCCGCCGCTCGGCGGGCCTGCAAGGGGTGTCGACCTGCTCGGGCACTCGGGACAAGGTGGCGCTGCAGCACAAGTACAGGCAGGTGCCGCTGGGCACACCAGTGGGCGCCCCACCGCCTCCTTGATGATCTCGAATACGGGCTCGCAGACCTCCGCCGCAGCGGGCGGAGCGGGGCAGGTGCACTCGCACCTGGTCGGTGCGATGGCGTCTCTGGTGAGCGTATATATGAAGTGGGCGGTCGAAGAATAGGAGAGGGCCCATTCGACCATATGCTGCTGACCTTTTCAGCAGAAAAAACTTGAGCACATGTGGCGATGGATCGGAGGGACCTGGCCACGACTCATGCCGCAAAGAGACATCAGTGATTCCTGCAATATATACATATATACATATATACATATATACATATATACATATATATACATACACACACATATATACACATGTATATATGCTATTCCTTAGTATTTGATATTCCCCCCCCCCCCACAAACAAAAAACGCTTGAATGAACAAACCATGCACTCGAACACAAAAAGCACCGAAATCCCGCATTCGAAGATCGTAAAATCTGAATCAAAATATGCTCGCGCGCACAGCGGCCAGCCAGTATGGCGCGACTGACGCGGCCGCGGTGGCGCCGACTGCTGGGCACTTTCCAGCGGGCATGTCAGTGCGAGTCGGTGACTTGGGCGGGCGCGGTATCATGACGACGGCCACAACGGTAGACACGAGGATGGTAGTAGCAATGATGGTGACGATGATGACGATGACGACGGCAAGGCCAATGACGGTGCCGATGTTGATTGCGCCAATGACGATGATAGCGTCCTCGCGTCAGCAATGTAAGTTTGGAAAGGATTTCGGCATGCGCGCGCGGCCGACGCACACGAGTGGCCCGCATGCATTATTTGCAAGAGATCGTGCCCCCGAACAGAGATGCACCAGCCAACACCAAGCACTCATCGCAACCGCCGCCACATGGGTTTTGCAAAGCAAGTTGCGGGTGGGTGGGTGGGACGATTGCGCGAACAGTGGAATTAACAAGTCCAAGATTTTCAAAATAAGTTGCACCAGAAAGATTGCACCGCATATATTGTTCCACAAATATTGGAGACCATAGATTGCACAACAAATACTGAGCCTGCCTCAGCCTCAGCCTGCCTCAGCCTCAGCCTCAGCCTCAGCCTGCCTCAGCCTCAGCCTGCCTCAGCCTCAGCCTCAGCCTCAGCCTGCCTCAGCCTCAGCCTCAGCCTGCGTCAGCCTCAGCCTCAGTCTGCCTTCATTCAGCCTCGGCCTCGCCTCAGCCTGCCGCAGGCTCAGCCTGCATCGCCTCAGCCTCGCCTCAGCCTGCTCAGCATCAGCCTGCCTCAGCTCAGCCTCAGCCTGCCTTCACCTCAGCCTCAACCTTGCTTCAGCCTCAGGCATCAGTCTGCCCTCAGCCTTCGGCCTCAGCTCCGCCTACCTCACCTCACCTGCATCACCCCTCAGCCTCAGCCTCACCTGCTCACATCAGCTGCCTTCAGCCCGCAGCCTCAGCCTGCCTCGGCCTCAGCCTCAGCCAGCCTCAGCCTCATCCTGCATCAGCCTCAGCCTCAGCCTCAGCCTGCCTCAGCATCAGCCTGCATCAGCCTCAGCCTCAGCCTGCCTCAGCCTCAGCCTCAGCCTGCTTCAGCCTCAGCCTCAGTCTGCCTTCAGCCTCGGCCTCAGCCTCAGCCTGCCTCAGCCTCACCCTGCCTCAGCCTCAGCCTCAGCCTCAGCCTGCCTCAGCCTCAGCCTGCCTCAGCCTCAGCCTCAGCCTGCCTCAGCCTCAGCCTCAGCCTGCCTCAGCCTCAGCCTCAGCCTGCTTCAGCCTCAGCCTCAGTCTGCCTTCAGCCTCGGCCTCAGCCTCAGCCTGCCTCAGCCTCAGCCTGCCTCACTCATTCCTCAGCCTCATGTTCCTACAGGATTGCCGACAAGACCCTCAGCCTGCCCTTCAGAGGCCCTCAGCCTGCTTCAGCCTCAGCCTCAGTCTGCCTTCAGCCTCGGCCTCAGCCTCAGCCTGTCTCAGCCTCAGCCTGCCTCAGCCTCAGCATCAGCCTGCCTCAGCATTCAAAATGTGGCACGGGAATGGAGTTCCGGGAACACGAAGAACACGAAGTGGACTACGGTTGGCTCCGGGCATTCAAAATCATGCCCAGGAATGGAGTTCTGGGAACTCGAAGAGCACGAAGTGGCCTACAGTTGGCTCCGGCCATTCAGAATGTGGCCTGGGAATGGAGTTCTGGGAACTCGAAGAGCACGAAGTGGCCTACAGTTGGCTCCGGCCATTCAGAATGTGGCCTGGGAATGGAGTTCTGGGAACTCGAAGAGCACGAAGTGGCCTACAGTTGGCTCCGGGCATTCAGAATGTGGCCCGGGAATGGAGTTCTGGGACCTCGAAGACCACGAAGTGTTTAACTGTTTGCTTAAAACGACTTCCGCGGATTCTCCCCGGATCCTGCCCGGACCCCCCTGGGGAGTCATGATGCTTTCTTTTGAGACCATTAGAAACCTATCAGTCTTCGCTGTTAGGTAAAAATGCCACCGTCTGATAGATGGAAGGCGGGTCGCTTCCAAAATGTAACTATCGCCCGTAGAGCCGCGCACACTCGTTGAAAGAATCGTAAGACTTTCACGTTCTGAAGGCCGGTCGCCTCCGAAATGTGGTTTTCGCCTTTGCGCGGCGCACATTCGTTTTCAAAATTGCAAGAGATTCACGGACTGAGGGCGGCTGGTTTTCAAAATGTGGTTCTCGCCTTCGCGCCGCGCACATTCGTTGTAAGAGTTTCACGGGATCCCATGGTCAACGTACCAGAAATCGTGTTTTGGAATGACTCGAGACCGTGACGGTGCAATAATTACGTTGCTCGCGGTGTTCGAGTGCCGGGAATGGTGTTTGGGCACGATTTAGGATCGTCAAAACGCAACAGTCAGCTTCATGCGTGCCGTGGGAGTCCCAAGAATGAAGTTCTGGCACGCTTCAGGGTCTTCAAAAGGATGTCTCCCAACGGGGCAATTCCCTGTGGAAATAAGCCTTGCGTTACACGTCCTTCTACATCAGACTTTGACATCGAAGGCACGTGTCCGGAGCGTCCTTCATGCCCCATTAGGCGATGGCGCTGCCGCGCCAGTCTACCACCACCTTTTCCACTTGCCTCCTGATGGTCGTCGCGCCATCATCCTGTCGTTCCTTCTCCCTCCCCTGCCTCCTGAAGCCGCAGGGAAGTAGCCCGTCACCAGGACACACCCTCATTATCCCCGAATAATGTTTGCAATTAACGGTTCCTCCTTCTGAAATGATGATCTGGGCCTGGCCATCGGTCTGGCGGTTCCGTGGTCGCCATCGCCGCCCCGTCGCCGCCCCGTCGCCGCCCGTAGGCTGGGCCTGGGCGTCGGTCCGGCGGCTCTGTGGTCGCACTCGCCGCCTCGTCGCCGCTTCGTCGCCGCCCGTCGTCTGGGCCTGGACGTAGGTTTGGCGGTTCCTTGGTCGACGTCGCCGCCCCGTCGCCGCCTACATCCTCCTTTCTTTAAAAGTATTGGAATGGCCCCCCAGGGATTAGCGGGGCATTGTTCCGTTTGCTTTCGTATATGATCATGCACACTCGCCCATCCCGAAGATGAGTTCATACCATCCCTGATATTAAGGGAACGGTAAACTATGCGCGCACACTGGCTTACCAGAAACCATCAAATTCCATTAGCAATTCGCCAACAAACAAAACGAAATCCACATGCGCGCGTCGTCGCGAGCATGCCGAAATCTGTCACAACAAACAAACAAACGAACAAACAAACAAACAACAACAGCAGCAACAGCAATAAAACATCGGGTGTCGCATGGATTCCGGAATCGAGCGTGCACAAAACAGATACATCGTACTCGCCCACGTCGGCCGCGCGCATGTCGAAATCGTTCCAACAATTTCATGACCGACGCGAGGACCACATCATCGTCATCGGCGCGACCGACATCGGCGCCGTCATTGACTTTGCCGTCGTCAGTATCACCGCCGTCACCAGCATCGCCACTATCATCATCGTGTCTGCCGTTGTCGACGTCGCCATGATACCGCACCCGCCTGAATCACCGACTCGCAGTGACGCGCCCGCGCGCCAGCGCGGACTGCGAGAAACGCTGGGAATTCCCCAACGGTCAGCGCCACCGCCGCCGCGTCCGTCGCGCCAGACTAGCTGGCCGCTTTGCGCGCGAGCATGCACGCGCTAGCGCGCCCGCAGCATTGCGCCAGCCAGCAGTCATCGCTTTCACCCCCGCGTAAGTTGTGAGAACAAAGAAAATTGCGGGTGGGTAGGTGGGACGATTGCGCGAACAATGGAGTTGACAACTCACTGCGAACAAAAGGTATGCGCACCGCATAAATTATGCCTCGTAGATTCTCCTTTCTAAAAAACTAATAGATTCTCCCCCCCTCCCCCCCCGGACTTATCGACTCCCCTGGGATGATACGATTTGATATATATATATATATATATATTATATATATATATATATATATATATATATATTCTGCACACTCGTCCATCCGAAATATGAAATCATACCATCCCAGCCAGGCCGGGCTCCCCCCCCTGAGGTTCCCTTGAAAAAAAACACTATGCGGTAACATTTTTGTTCTAACATAACACTATTTCACGAATCCCTTGCAAAAAATAGGACGAAGTGCACACGCGCGCGTCGTCGCGCGCGCATGCCGAAATCCTTCAAAAATCTTCGGTGCCGGAAGGATTTCGCAATCGAGTTTCCAAAAAAAACATACAAAAAACACAGGGTTTCGCAACACTGATTTGCTAAAAAAACTTCCGCGCGAG